TCTGTGCCCAAAGACCCTGAACGCTTCAAAGCCTGGCAGCGAGCAGTGCCACGTGCGGACAAACCACTGGAAGCAACCTCAGTTCTTTGTGAGCTGCATTTCGACGAACAGTACCTCGTGCGGTTTTTCCCCCGCACTATCAACGGTGAGACAGTGCGAATTCCTCGTGACCGACCTAAGCTTACGGATAATGCAATCCCCACCGTTTATCCGAACGTCCCTGCGTATTTATCGAAGAAACCGCCCCAGAAAAGAACGTCGAGGACGTCTACGGGGGGCCTACCTGCAAAGATTCCGCGGTGTGAAGGAAGCGCCTCTGTGCACGACAACGCTGCCGCCTCCCATGAAGACGGAATCTTTTCCAACTCTCCAACCGCGCTTGATATCGCGAGTTGTGAACCACCAAGTGCCTCTTGGGCGAAGCACAGGATCGCTGGGGCGGACAGTGCTACAGCATTCATCAGCATTCAGCACTCATCTATTACATTGGCGGCTATGTGGCAAGGAAAAGCATCGCAACCACAAAGTGGTTGACTGCTGTGCACAGCTCCTGCGACAGAACGATGGGTCACTGCCAGCCGCAGCATGCCTTACCAATGCAGTGAACAGGGGTGGCCTGCTGCATCCATCAGCCAAGCTGAATGACCTGGTGACTTCGCTTGAGAACGCATTCACACGTTGCTTCAGCATCAAGGAGATCAAAAGTGACAGTATCCTGGACTTGATCTCATTTTTGCAGTTGGCTAAGTTGACCGTCGTGGGCTGCCCCGACCACAACACGGAACTCACAAACAAGGTCCTCAAATTCTACGTCCTCACCAGGCTGCATTTTCTTGTGAAAACTCAGAATGCCAGCCAAGGTGACAAGCGTAAGAAGATGAAGATGCTAAAATTAAGAAGAGTGCTGTGAATTGAGTGGATTAGTTGCTTTTCCTCACTCTACTTTCAATGCAGCCTTTGTATGAGTTGTGTAAATATGTTCAAAAGTGATCACCATAGTTGAAAATGTATGAACATGACTGACTTTTTTTTTATCATCGAGATGAATTGGTGCCGTACTCAAATGCAAACGTTTTTATTGTATTTGTGCATGTTTTCAATGAAGTGAAGCGCTTTTACCTTTTCCCCCAATTGCAGACTTCATGTTTTTATTCTGCTTTCAGTAAAATGTGTTCTAAATTTGCAAAAAAAATAATCTGTACTTAAAAACTGAGCAGTCTTTCCTTTATTAGTTAAAGTGATTTGTTGCAGTCGCAGATACAGACGCTTTCTGTTTATGTGCAGTTATATATTTCTTGTCAGTTGTTTGGATTGGAAAAAATAAATCGTTTTTTATGCTTTGTGTACTCATGCAAACAGCGGGTATGGTCTCTTCCTTGTATTTTATCGAAACTAACGTCGAGTGCAAAATGGGAAGTGTGGAGTAGAGCATGGAAGTCGGAAGCGAGGGATCAGTGCCGTTCGGGATTGCATCGGTCATGCGTATCGGAATAGAACACTTCGACGTGCTCAGTACGAGTTCAGAAGTACATGCCACTTAAGGCCACTTGCGTGCTTAGTAAAATTAGACTTGCGCGTGCGGCGAACTTCTAATTTGCGCTTACGCCGCGCGCCCAGCCGTAGAGCGAGCGGCCGAGCGGGCATCGAACTACGACAAGCAGCGCCACCGTGCGCCAGGCATGAAACGGCGCATCGCTTTTGACCGGCCCTTGGCGTCACCTCCCCCTTCTAGCCACCATAGCCTGTGCCCCCGACGAAACGCTTTCCCCATATAGAAGCACCGCCATCTAGCGGACATTCCAAGGACTAAACGAGACGTGGCACACGCACACTTTCTTACGGCTTGCGCTTCGGGTCTACTTCCCACCTTTAACCACCTCGAGTTCATGGTATAGACTAGTTCACTGCATTCATGGCACTACGGCCCAACGCTCGCTCAACCTTTCTAAAACCAAGGAGGTTACGCCCAGCGAGTATAACGTAGCAACCTTTTCCTGTCAGATATTGCTCAATGTACATGCCAATGGCTGCTAATGGGAAATGAGACAGGAGAATTCGGTTTTTACTTTATTATGGCTTGCGCTTCGTATCTACTTCCCACCTTTAACCACCTCGAGTTCATGGTATATACTAGTTCATTGTATTCATGGCACTGCGGCTCAACGTTTGCTACACCTTTCTAAAACTAAGGAGGTTACATCCAGCGAGTATAACATAGCAACCCTTTCTTGTCAGATAGTGCTCAATGTACATGCCAATAGCTGCTGATGGGGATCGCAGCATGTGCGTTAACTAAAAGCCGAATGCTCCTTTCTCTCATTCCCCATTAGCAGCCATTGGCATGTACATTGAGCATTATTTTTCATTGTTCGACAACGCACAGAAGGAATCTCTCACTGGCACCACCTTGGAGGTCGAATAGTTATACTTGTTACACACTACACCGGCTACGAGGGACGAATGGGTGCCGCTATAAGGAGCTTCGCCCCTAAAAAATAAGCCGTGAACTGTACTTGTCAGGCAATGCACTAGTGGATCACAGCTCTACTCTGTCGATCGAGAAACGGTCCATGTGGAAAGCAGGGGAGACGACATTGGAAAGGTCAGCAATATTTTGAGTATGACGTGCACTCTGAAGCATGCATAGGCATAAAGCTCCCAACATTGCTTACACCTACTGCCAATTTATTTTAATAACCCCTGAATCTGTCCAAATAACATGTATTTTGTGGTCATTCCACGGGCACACAGATTCATTTCGTTATTCTTATATCCACATCTGTGAACTCACATGCACCCATTACACAGAATGCAGCCATATGCGAAAGCTTCACTGACTCAAGCCACTTTCAACTTCATTGCTTACCGTGTATAGTAATCCACAATTTAAATTCTCGAGTAACATCATACAATAAAAATTATGCACTAAGTGGTTGATGTAAGCACGAGGGACAAAATATCGCTATTTAGTTTAACGCAAAGCTTAAGGATACCCTTTTTTTTTTCGGACGTGCAGGAAAGGTTTGTCCCGTCCCCAATAGACCGGTCCCTGAAAAGGTTGCCTCAAAACTTAAATCTGTCTTGGAAAGAATCCCGGATTGCACGTGCTAAAGCAAGTGTCTGAAGTTTCGAGTGGTGCAGATTAAAATATTGCAGATGCAATTGAAGCATTGAAAGGGCCATGCCACAAGTATGCTTCACTAACTCCAGTGGATGTTGAGCGTTCTTTATCGTATAAAAGCAAGTACTCACTGAAAGCAAGCAAAACTCAAGCCCGAAAGCCTTGAGATGATGCTGGTTTGTCATTGTTTTCATATACCTTTTCGCACAATGTAAAATTACCTCAATCTTCACCTAAATCTGTTCAAATGATTATGCTTCTTATTAATTCTTTTCTTGAAAAAATAAATTTAGCTTTTCCAAACACAGAATTCGCCTGCGGTGTTTCTTAGGAGTTGAATATAAGTGTCCTTAGCGCACTACTGAAGTATTTATGAATTGTGCCTATATATGCCTAAATGACAGCTTTCAATGCCTATTTATGCCTAAATGGCAGTTTTTAGGACCTATTATAGTCGCCTAAAACATTCTTTTTTCGTGCCTAAAGTTCCGGTCTCTATAACACGACATATAGACGTGTTAATTGACATGTTACATGACACTGCATGACATTCGTATAGCTTTTTTTTCTTTTTCGAAGCAGCTTCCAGCAGTGTTGTAGCCTTGTAGTCGAACAGCTGCATGCCATGAAGAATGTGTGGGTGCGATTCCTACCTAGAAGCAAAGACATTTGCATCTTTTTTTAATTTTGCAGTCACGGACAACACTGATTTTTCCTTCTCTACCAACGACGCCGACCTTCCTGCGAAACAATTAAGCTCTTTTACACTGTCGCGTTACAAGTTGGAGCTGGCGAGGATGCACTGGAACACCCAGAAATTTTTGGGGAAAACAGTTGAACTCTTCCCCTTGGCTACGCCACTGCCCCGCACCACTCCTATGCACGTGTCTGATGCCGCCACGTATGCTGCATGCTATATTGAAGGGGCCTTTTTGTCGTGTGAATTCTCTGGATCCTGGCATAGGCGCGTTTTGCCTTCATATGCCAAATAACTGTGTATAAATAACTAGAATGTTCTGGAGACGCTATTGGCCAGCCTGGACATGCTGTGTTGTATTTGTTTCGGCATCAGGGCCACAGCCATATATGGCTAACACCCCTGCAAGTGTAACGTTGTATCAGACCCGACGTTGTCACGTCCAGCTCCCCGCGAGGTCAGACTATGATCCTCAATTGCTCCTTCGAAGGAACCTCGAGGCGTCCACTATACGCCTAATTCAACGCGTTCCGAAGGGCCCCCGTTGGGCGGCTGCTATTTCCGCATTTTTTTCTTCACATTGGGCCCCGGCATCCTTGGCTCGTCCAACCCACACTTCTTTTTGCCCATCCTGAACACTCCGCTTCTGCCAGGTTAATGCCTTCAACAATCACTACACCAGGACAGGAGGCCATAGCACCACATTTCGCCTACTGCAGCACCGCTGCACTGTGAGCCTTCAGCGTGTTAAGCTTAGCAGAGCCTCAACATAGTCCACCGCAAACCGGTGCGGAGGAAAGTCACAAAAGTCCCCACTGGTGAAAGTTTGGTAGATGTATTTCTAATTCTGCTTCCTCTCGAGAGCCACTAAAATGTCCCGTTTGGGATTTATGTGGAAACAATAGAAAACACAAAAACTAAAGGAGAATCGGATACATCTTTTGGCTTGCTGAGAGTTTCTGCAGTTAATGCTGTGCTTTAAGAGGACTGTCATGGGGGCCAGTTAAATCTTGGTTTGTATGTGTCATTGTTGAAATACACAAAATATGTGTACATTGCACCGTACCCATGGTATTCATTTTGCCAAATGGACTAGAACCCTTACCCAGCTTGGTCTAAAATGTAAGTTGTTACCAAGATTTTTGGTGACATTCAGAAGACCAGAAAAGAAACAGAAAAAGAAACAGGCATCTACAGACAATATTTATTTAGCCCTTGCCATTTCCTTGAATACAGCATCACATTCTAATTATATTTATGTATATATACATATACACATTTATACCAAACACATGAACAGTTAGTGACAACTTCAATTCTTATCTCATTTCAACAGCCATATAGATATGCATTTACGTGAGTGCATAATCTTCATATATATGTATATATATAATATATGGTATGTATATATCTACTATATTCATATGAAGAAGAAAGGAGCAATTTGTACTTGATAACTTTGCACAGGGTATTCGTCACTGGGTATACCTGCAGTCGCTGTGAGAAAGAAAATGCATATATGGAGGCATGAGTGGCACTGAATCCGTGTGCCCTTGTCATGAAAAAAGTAATCTATGTGTTGACGTGCCACACTCACTTAGCGACCTCAACTTCAGAAGCATTGTACTTTTCACTGACGTGCGAAACCTTGTCAAGAGCCCCGGGATATGTTTCAGGAACATTCGCCTTCTGTCTTTCTGCATAGCCTCATATTCCCTGGAAAATGGCACGCATATAATAAATGTTTCAAAGAAGCAAGCTCTACTTATGATATTGTTATGCAAACTATACTTAAGCTAAACAATAGGCCAGATACCCCTTGAAAGCTATATCAAAAATACGACACCTCTGTCTTTCATAAATCTTCTTTCTAAAACTCCCTCACATGTTTGCCTACCACAAGACGCTCATGAAGCATACAAAGGCATAATAACATATCAAAAGCCATACACCCAAAACAGATGCAAGCTCTATCATCATATGAATTGGAATGTTCAATTCAAGTTGACAACGAATATACAAAACAGGATGTCTTCAATAAATCGATGTTGTAAAAAATAGATAGTGTTCAGTGTAATTCACTACATGATGGCAGGAAATTCAGATGTCATATGAAAACTGCAAAAATTCTAAATTTGAAACAAATCAATGACACTACATTATTATTTTTTGCTCAGTATACTCCTTTGTACACAATCATTTTTCTGACAGTGACTTGATTTTCAAGGAAAGAACGCACACTTAGTATACAAGCAATATATGAGCCCAACAAGAATAGTACTAGGCTTTCCCTCAATGCATAGTAAAAAAATAAGTATTGTACCAACATGTGAAGAAGGTCAACATGTGAACGTCAGCACGTGACTCACACATTATCATGCGAAGCATTTGGAAAGCATAAAAGTGGTCCAGAAAGGTGTGTACATTTTGAATTGTTTGCTGTCAGTCACAGAAACATGACAACTTCAACAAGAAGATATACATCTGCATACAAGGTGTAGTTTTGCGTACTACTACTACTACCACCACCACATATCTAGCCCAAGTTCCATTCACAACAAAATATACGGGCTAGCAGACAAGGCAGTTGATCAACCATTAGGGTTGTCAGTGAACACACCACTGTAAAGAAGCAAATACAAGCCTCGCCATGTCATATGCACAGCATGGGTCACAGTCAAAGAAAACATTTATAATAAGCATTTCACAGCTTACTAAAAATGGCATGAGAGCCTCCAGACTGCATTTTTCTTGTGCATACAATTCTGATTGACCTAAAATCCCATTTATTATGCTAATTTGCAAAAACTTTTCTCTCATACTGCCTTTAGTTGACTAGTATGGCATTTCCTTTAACATACCGAAGACTAAATGTTATCGGGTAGTGATGAATGTCCCTGTACAGCACGAGCCAAATGAAAACACAGATGCTGCCCTTTCATTTCCATTTTGCAAAGCGGTGAGAGCCGAAATGCAAACAGCTTGTTTGATCCCAACCGCAGGATACATCAGTGCTGGGTGCAAGCATGTGTACCTGTAGCCACTACTCCTTGTGGTGATGAGCAGATAGAAAGTGCAAATGCACACGTCACCATGTACACTATGGTGAGGTACGATTTACCATTTCCTTCCGTAAACTAAACACTATGACATTCTAGCAGGATATGTAAAGTCTTTCAAAAAGAATGCGATATGCCAGGAAGTAACTTTCAAATGTGATATTACAGTCACATTCATAACATTGCACTGGGCGAGGGTGCAAGAAATTTTGCCTTGCGATGCTGGCACACACTAGCAGTGTAGCAGAAAACGCGCCGAAGTTGTCTCTAACTTATGCATTGTTAATCTTTACACTCAGACATTCTGTTCTACAAATGTTGCTAACCATGGACTAACATGCTCCCACATAAATGCAAATTTTCTGACACACACATGGATCAGTTACACTTGAAATCGCCATAAAAGACAGGCATTTGCCAGTATAATGCAGAAGCATGTTGTAATTGATTTGTGGGGTTTAACGTCCCAAAACCACCATATGATTATGAGAGACGCCGTAGTGGAGGGCTCCGGAAATTTCGACCACCTGGGGTTCTTTAACGTGCGCCCAAATCTGAGCACACGGGCCTACAACATTTCCGCCTCCATCGGAAATGCAGCCGCCGCAGCCGGGAATCGAACCCGCGACCTGCGGGTCAGCAGCCGAGTACCTTAGCCACTAGACCACCGCGGCGGGGAGAAGCATGTTGTAGGCAGTTCAGCTGCACAGGTGCAATGACAATAGTAAGCTTACTGAAACTTTGGCCCAAGCGAACTAGAAATTTGTCTTCTTTACTTCAAGCGAAGCAAAAAGTGCAAAAACAAAATTTTTTTCGGCACACTGCTTCTGTCAAAAATCTTGGCATGCAGAGTCGGCTCAGGCACTGACAGGTGAACAATGTTCTGCAACCAATAATAACTTCTACGTCGCAAGCAAAGAAGCTAAAATTAGTACTTAATGCTGGTAAAGAAAACAAAATACTAAAAGCTACTATTTAAGAGACTATGAGATGAACACACAGTTCAGTACTCTTTCATGGCACTGACGTGAGTGCAGTGAGCAATGTAATATAAGTATCAGCATCATCATCAGTCAAATCGTCATTATAGCATGGTCTACAAGTTCCTGACTAGCGTAATGCAATTCCAGTTTCAGAAAAATGACTTGTTTGTTCTTGGTTTCACACTAAGACAAAGCTCCTTGACAGATAGAGGAAACACAACCCACATAATTTCTAAAACTAGAGGAAATTTCTAGGTGGAGTATATTAAACAAATAAGAGGAATACACTGAGCTTCACTTTTTAATTGTGGCATGAACTTTCATGCAAGTTACAATATATTAACAGGGACAGCACATATTTCAGCAAAACATAGGCTCATTATTCATACCCAAATGTTGCACTCGTATCGCCTTTTGATGACACCCATAAGCTTTTGGTTGCCTGCTTCATACACTGCGAGGTGTAAATGCGTATACTGCTCACTCAACAAATGTTCATTGCAGTAGAAGCGAATGAGCCAAGTTATGTTTCAATGTTACGATGTGAAGTCTGTTGCAATTTGCATTGTATAGTTGGAACACAACCAAACAAAACCATATTGGAACGAAACATCTATTTTGCCAATACAGAGAACAATTATACTACTATTCCAGTATCACACATTTCATACGTGTTCATTCTTCATAGCTGCATATCACGGTTGCCTGGTTTTTCTAAATAAAAGGGGAACTGTTGTACAAAACTGTTGTAAGTGAATGTACAAAACTGTGTGCACTGTGAAAGACATACTCTGGGCAAAAGCTAAGCCTGAATGAGCCATTAATAGGTCGATCAGTCTCAGTACGCCATGTTGGGCAAGTTGGTGCATCATTCCTAGAAAGACGTTGCGGCAGTTTAAAAATCGAGAAGAGCAATGATGAGACAGAACTCAGCTGTGAGTTTGCACTTTTTCTGTGTCATCTAGGTCCTCTACTTTTAAGCTTGTGCCATGCCATGGTCTTTCAAGAAATGATAAGTTTCACAACCATTTATTGGATTAGGCAACATTAGACAAAGAAGCAATAAGGTAGCAGGACCAGCAGCGCTAGCACTTTTCACCTCACAGTCATAGTACACTGTACTAGAAGAAGACATTGCAATGAAAAAAGCGGGTGTGCCGCATCTCGGGTGATGCTCCGACGGGTGAAAGTAGCAGCGGCGCTGTAATCTGTACTGAAGCTGTCGACAGCGTCTGCATAGGGCACACGTGCTTCGTTATCTACAAAAGCATGTAAATGCACGTTTTGAGTGCTTTTAATGTATTACTGAGCTTTAATCAGTGTCTCAATGCTTGCTATGCACGATGGTGCACAAGTGAATATATATGTAGGCATGCAAAAATTGCGCCAAGGCATTCCTTGTTTGAAAAGCCTGTCAGCACCCTGTGTCCTCTCTTCTGGCTGTCTCCTTCAGTAACTTGTGCTGATTTGCACACATAACAACAAAAATGGTGGCAATTAGATTTCGCACAGAATGATCACTGAATGCTATGCGGTTTGCAAACAACACTTTGATCCATGCTACACCTTAATTGTCTGCGAACGAACTATGAAGAGCGAAAAAGCAGCAAACCAGCAAAGAAAGCTTACAATCCTTTTGCTGGCAGTTCTTAGGATATTCAGATCATTGATGCTTACACAGTAAGCCTCAATGCGCTCGATTGCTTCATGGCTAACCTAAGCACAAATAACTACATCACTGCATTCATATTAGGGACCACCCAATTCTATGGTGCCAGTTTTGCGCTGTTTCTTTGATGTGGACCGAAAGTCTATCTACTTTCAATGGCGAGCTTCCACTGTTAGAGTGTATCGGTTATGCGACCTCTGAGCCCTTAATATACCAAGAAGCCGAGCCAAGGAGCCGAACCAAAAGTGCATGTTCACCTTCGAGGCATGAACTTCATGCATCTGGGCTTATCGCAAGTATATTAAAATGCGCTGATGTCAATACCTAAATCATTCATTATTCTGCCTAAATTCAATATAGCCAGTTTTCCTGACTATATTTTTCATCATGCTTTCGGCAGGATAACATAACAGCACACAGATTTATGAGGGCAGATCCATTCCAATAAAAGAGCTCAATTATGAATAAACTAGACACTAAATCAAACCAGCGCAAAGAATTAAGACAAAATAAATTAGAATAAGGCACACACCTTCTGTTTTTTCTGTATCTCTCTTGAGGCGGTCGGTCATGGTCTAGTTTATTGGAGGAGGAATGTACTCCCTATCCCTAGCCCAGCAATAAGTTTGGCTCACTTACACCGAAGTCGTGAATATTCACTGTTGCAATCAGCCCGTTTAAAATTTAATGTTTTGTGCGCCTTCCAGCAATCGCTTCGGCCACTAGAATTATTTGTGGTTTCTCTCAAAAGCATATATAAAGCAAGCATAATGGGGCGGTACCAGCAGGTGGGCTGGAGCACCTCTGGAGCAAACAGCCAAAACACAGCATCTCAATTCTCCACCTCCTAGCCTTCTCAGAAGGAACACATTTATTGTGGGTGCCCCCCTCACCACCAAAATAACAATCCTGGCACCACCCCTGCAAGCATCCATTAAAAGCATTGAAGTTTCATTCATCACGGCTTATGACGTACGACAAAACCTAGGCTTGATACAGGCAGACAAGCAATGAAAGCTGCATCAGCAGCAGGTCTAGGTTAGCCGGGTGCCACCAACATGTCCAGCAGTTCTTGCCCACAGTGCAGCACACCTTCAGTACGTAGCGACTGCAGCGCCATCGCTACTGTTGACGCAAAATGCACCAGGCAGCAAGACATGATCACGTTGCACAACAGTTCCAGCACACTCCAACACTCCAGCAATAGTGAGTGAACAGCTCAGTTGTCACATCTATAGCAAGAAGAAGGACACACTGAGAGTTGTGCAGCTGAGAAAAAAAAAACCCTCAACAGTAACAGCCAATCAGCAGAAACAGTTCAAATTGTGGCATTACTGAACATGTGCAGAGGCTCTTCTGTTAAACTCTGTACGAAGCGACATACATTCAAGATTCTAGAAAAGGACAGTTGCAGTGATGAAGATCATATGCATACTTTGTGTATCCATGCACTTTTGGAAAGCCTGAGGCACTCCTTGCTCAATGATGAACACGGCAGGGTGCACTATACAATTAGTAGAGCACATTAGAAGAGCGTGCGAGTTCACCAAGCAATAAAAAAAGTGTTCTTTCTGGATCGAAGAGGAAACCATAAAATTTCTAACGAGCAAAAAACTGAGAGGCTTGCTTGCAGATATAACTCACACAATACGTTGCTTTGCTTGCACTGGAGAAGTATGTGATGACGGAAACTTGAGGAACCAGAAGCATCAAATGGAGCTTTGTGCGTTTTACAGCTGCGTCGAGTGAGAAAAAAGAATACATGCATGCACACACATATTAAATATGTAAAATTCAATGTCTCAAAGGCATTTCAATAGCTTTGAATGAGAATGGTGCACTCTGCAGACTGTTACCACTATAAACCCAACAGGAAGATGCACCAAGTGATGGTAATCAGAAAAAAATTACAGCATATCCACGGAGTGAATGATGGTGAGTGGGGCGAAGCAGCCGGCCATTGGTTCGTGCATCTATCCGTCCAGCCGTGGATCGACCTATCCGTACGTGCATCTGTCTGTCTGTACGTCCGTCCGTCTAGTGAACACTCAAAGTACCATTATCTCGCATCTTTTCATTATGTATTAATTATATACAAGTACTGCCATCTGGTGGACATTTCAAGAACTACAGCTTAGGGAGCTTCGCCCACCGGTGGTTACAAACGATAACGGGACGAACGGGTGACGCCATAAGGAGCTTTGCCCCTAAAACAAGGCAGTCACTGGTCAGTAGTTTAATTGTAACAAATGGCATTGCATTCCTCGCCAACATAAATTGTAGACACATTTAGAGCTACAAGCAGGATATGTCAGGTGCCACAGAAATGCCACGGACCCCAACCGTTCATGGCTAAAGAGGACTCAAGAAAGAGAGTTGAAAAGACAAAGGATGGATCAATCTTCGTAAGACCAACAGCACAGTTACCTAATCAGTAACAATGCTACTTAGCATATGTAAGGACATCCCGACAACAAAGGTATGGTAAGCGGACTTCATTTTTGAGGAGAGTCTATCTAAACTTAGATTCATTCAAGAAAACAGGAAAGCTCAGCTGCAGCAACTTTGCTGGGAAAATGAGAAAAAAAACTTCTTTACAAGAATAAGTTAAGCACGTGAAAAAGAAAACAATGATGACATCATAAGGCAAGATACACTCCAGCATCACATCATTGTAACCTGTCACAAAGCTGAGCAGCTGATCATTCTTTTGAGCGACATTCATCAAACAGACAAAGCATAACACAGCGGTAGGCCCGGATTTCCCAGCAAGAACCAAATGCCTCACATTTGGTTCTTGCTCATTTGGTTCATGCCTCACAGAACCAAATGACTCACATGCAATGCAAAGTGATAAATATAGATGTGCATTCGTGTACGGCAGTATGTCTCCCCATAAATAAAAAAGGATAAGATATCAGTGTGCTCGTTCAACAGTAAATATAGTGTTACTCTATGCATGATTCATGCCGAGGCAGTGGTCACAGTGACTGAGAAGAATAGTGTCCACAAATAACATCAATAGTTCTAGAAAGTCACTAGACAACTCTGCGCTGTCATCAGTTGTGCGAAATATTACTATGCCAGCATAGTAAAAATACATAGAGATGCGAGGTACAAGTGGTTCTTACTATGCCCAGCTCTAGCATTGCAGAGAAAAGCAATGGCAGTGCTTAATAATTGCCTCTTGTCAACAATGCTCATCAAGTGTTATAAGCGAGCACTGTTCTTATAGCACTCACAGTGGCAAGATTACGATGGCTTCACTTGTTCCCAGAGAAGAGAGTTGTGCAAGTTAGGCTTGACACCAACATACTGGCTGCCATACTCATGCCCAAACTTTCTTTACCCTTCATTTAACATACAGGCAATCATGCTTACTGCTAGAATGAAATTTCTGTCACCAATTTCATCCAAGTTTGTGGTGCAGTGAGTGAATGCAAAACATTCCGAATATGCTGACATCCACATGACTTTGAAGCAACTCGCTTGCAACAGCACAATCTTGCTTCGAAGGCAAGAGGGAAGGCAAGTTATACATACACTGAAAGCACACATTGGCGGCACAGCATCTGAAATGGCAGAAAGTGAGCAAGACTTGTACATTTTGTGCCCAGTTAAGATACCTGGTGACCGATGTTGTCATTCTTGAAGTCACTGTCCAAGCAATGGCTATCGTCGTGTCCTCTTGGACAAGCCAACAAAGTATATTTTCAAGCTACCAACATTTCCTATTGTGTAATAACAGCATGTGTAACAAGAAGTTGAAGGGTCCCTTGAACAGTTTACACTGTCACTAGGGACTGCAGTAATCGGTTAGCAGAACTACACTAATTTGAAGAAAGAAGAGCTCCAATTAGAACTTCCTGGTATGAGTCAGACCTTTTTTTTTGAGCTTTTCTGTCAGCGATTCTCATGTAAGTATCCGTATAGTGGCAGTACTGTGAGGGAGTTATTTGGTGCCATGTTTTTGAAGCATTGTGCCTTTTATAGCAACTCTGCAATGGGTGCTTACCTCAACATGAGGACTCTACTAAAGCAGAATTACTGCTCAAAGAATTTCGTGCAAGAGCGCAAGTAACGTGGCTGAAACGACAGTATATATTTCGCTAGCTTGACACTAAGCAACATAGTGTTGAGCTGCACAAGAATTCAGCCCCTTTTCAGTATATTCATTGCCGAGAAAAGCAATGGCAGTGCTTAATATTTGCCTCTTGTCAACAATGCTCATCAAGTGTTATAAGCGAACACTGTTCTTATACCACTGACAGTGGCAAGGATGGTACTGGATGGCATTGAATGGTTACCACAGCATTCACCATCTACTGCTCGGCAATCGAGACAGGAAGAGAGGCACGACATGAGATTCACTGGCGGAAACTACACAAGATTTGCATGCAGGTTACAATTGCCCTCTACTATTCTTTCTGCATGCAAATGGAATGTCCCCCCTCTCCTCTCCATTCACATTAGCCTGAATATTTCTGTGAGTGTGAGAAAATGTTCCTGCCCAACATAATGAAAAAAAAAAAAAAATCAGATGAAGACTACGATGCAGAAAACGTCATGGCATTTCAAGACGTTGCTCAAGGAGCTCAAGCAAAATACAATGAAGCTGGAAATTAAAAATATGGAATGTATATAACGCTGGTCATGAACACATGCCTAGGTAGCTGCAACAAGCGACGCTCTATAATATTGTTCCCTTTATACAAATCCTAGCTATGAAAAATACAGAGTATGTAAAAAAAAATATCCAGAATGAAGATTTCTCCTAAATAAACATCCTAAACATGTATTTGCTATCCACATAACAAGTCAGCTGGATTGCTTTCATATAGCTGTGAAGCAATACCAAATGCTGCTAATAACTCTTCCCAATAAAGAAAAAAAAGGACAGCCTTCTAGGTAAATAAATACCTGCTCAACCTACTTACCTTAATTTTAAAGATAACGTATTGATAGACTGCAGTCATCTGAGTCAAAGAAAAGAAAGGCTAAAGTAATAATAAAAAAAGGATACTTAAACCTTGCATCAGGCACACTTTTCCCGGGTATTTGTAATACAGTATGAGATAAAGTGGTCTTTCGTTGGTGCATTGAACGAAATGCCATGATAGGCGGTTAAAACTTCTCAATGTGCATGGAAAGCTCTTCTCACAAAATCAGTAATGCTTAATGCAATTGCCCTCAACTTGCATTCCTTCACAGGACTATTATTATTCATTCATTTACTTACTATATGGGCTTTCTCTAAATACCATTAAAAAAAGTGTCCTCCCTCCTGATCTTCCACATTATAGGTCGCCGTGGCAGTCCAGAGCCCACAACACGAAAGCCACTACCGCTTCATGCGAAACATGTTCTTCGACAGACAATGCCGACAGTTTCCATAATTATTGATCTGCAGCTGCAGAGCCTTTCATTCACCCAACACAGTCAATACTTCACATTGTGAGCATGCATATGATGCATTATTGAATATAACGCAATAAACACACTTTTTTTGGCCGACAACAAAATGTAACAGAGTAACACTTATAATTCATATTCAATATACCACCAGTGTTTTAAATTTTCAATACAACTTTGTCTTAATAACCACCTGACACAGTGTTTTTCATACAATGCAGTAAATGCAAGATTTCTCAGCCAAAATCAAAATATCTCAAATACACGCTTATAATAATTACATCAAATAAAAATATTTGAAGATTGAATAAAACTTCACTTTAAATGTGCTTGATGAAAAAAAGAGCCAATAGATGTAAAAAAAATAAATGGCAATTCTGTCAATGCATTTGTGAATCCAACACCACTACAAACAAATGTTCACACACACAAGCAAAAATAGAAGTGCAACTTGGCACAGCGGTCAACGTGGCGATAGCAAGAATTGTATGTGACGGGCAAAGCAATACAGGCACCGTTCACATTTCGAGGGCCAAACAGAACAGCAAGCTTACATGCCTCACTTACCTGCGAGAACCCACCAGTCACCAATAGCATGCATTCTTAACCCTTGTTTACAAAACACGCCATGCTGGCCCACTTGCATAGCTTCCATGAGCCTGTGTCCTGCAAAACTTCCCACGAACAGACAGACTAAGCTGCTCATGATGTCTCACTTTCATGTGTGCACAGTGAAAAAAAACTAGTTGAAAACTATAGCTCACCTGAAAAGTTACAAATGCGACAGTGAGCCTTTTAACAACAAATACACCCAGAAACAACGTTGCAGGTTGCCCTGTGATGGGTGCACATGAAACGTCTTATGTGCGCATATACACACACGCACACACTACAGAGCACACTGTTGACAGAAGACAGGCCTCGCACAGTTTGGAGAATGGAGCGCAGGAACTTGAATGGATCGTGTCTTGTGACATCAGAATCCAGCAGCAGTAGGTTGAGCACACAGCTACCAAATCACTTTCATTCACAACAGTAGGCATTCATCACCATTGACCAATCATGAATGCAGGACTGCCCTGCTTGAAGTGACTGCTGAGCAACAGTGATGTCACCTTGCATGCATTGTTACATTCACTTGATACAAACAGTCGAGGTGGCTTGAGGCATCTGTGGGAGTAAATATAGAAATCATGCTCAGGCAAATAAACATAACTATTTAAAGCACACAAAACTACGGCACATCAATAGTAAAAAACAGCAGCTGCCTTACCTGTATAAAACACCTTAACCAACCAACCAAGTGTAGGTCCACATGCTCAAGAAAACCACAATAATTGTCGGTAAGCTGTGATACTGCGCTTTTGTAAAACAGGACACACACACTCAAGCAACCACAGTATCAATTACTAATGCATTTGTCCACTCAACTGTAGCATATGCCTTCATGTAAGCTAGTAATAAATGTTTTATTCTCTCTCGTGTAACCTCACAATGAAAGACATCCAGCCAAATTAATACTGTTCTACCATTAGCAAGGTTTCCGAATTTCCGCGACTATGCCCATTGGTTGCGGGGGGCTCTGCAGGCTCACCTTCTAGTTATACCACTTCTGCTTCCTATATCCAGGTAGGCATCCTACTCTGACGTTGGAGCGGGTCCACATGGTGGAAATACCCAGCCATCCAGTAACATGGCCTCATATGACACTAGCCCTGTAACTCTCGTTATAACTGCTGCAGTCTATCGTGGACCCTGACTGTAGTTACGAGTGAAGAAAAGATCTTCTGGCTGGAACGTCTGCGGAATAGGCACAGGTTCTGTTCACCGGAACTATACATCTGGAGCCCAGTCCAGATGCTGCCAGTCCAGCATAGTTGACAACAAATGGCCCATCAACAGTTTGGCCTGTCAATGACCTATGGCTGTGTGTGGGGTTATGTGCTGCTGCCGCAACAAGTCTGCCAGTCTCCTCTCCCAGTTTCTGTTGATAATCTAAGACAGGGCTTTTTTTCATCGTACACACCATTCTCTCAGTCTCTCCATTATAAAGGGGCGGAAGGGTGCTGATGTAACCCGATGAATCATATTTGTTTTAGGAACATTTTTGAATTCAAGGGATGTGAACTGTGCCCCGTTATCTGAGACAACCATACCAAACAGTCTGTGCATTGCAAACAGCCTTCGTAGGATGTAAACCCTGTGAGCGACATTATGGATGACAACCTATTGACCTCGAGCTATCCTGAATACGAATCAGCCACCATCAGGCAGATCTGACCTTCAAACGACCCAGCGAGATCAATTTTCAGCTGAGGACATGTAACCCGTGTAGCCTAGCTCCTAATAATGGACTGGCCCTTAGAGCATCTCTGGCCACATTGATTGATTGATATGTGGGGTTTAACGTGCCAGAACCACCATATGATTATGAGAGACGCCGTAGTGGAGGGCTCTGGCAATTTCGACCACCTAGGGTTTTTTAATGTGCACCCAAATCTGAGCACACAGGCCTATAACATTTCCGCTTCCATTGAAAATGGAGCCACCGCAGCCGGAATTCGATGCCGGGACCTGCGGGTCAGCAGCCGAGTACGTTAGCCACTATACCACCGTGGCGGGGCGCCCCGGCCACATCTGGGACGCCTCACAGTGGCAGACCCATTCTACTATGGCAGCATCCATTCCAGGCCACGACACGTAACTCCAAGCTAATGCCTTCATCCTGACAATTCCCGAGTGTCCGGCTCACAAAGTTTCAAGTACATAGAGACGCAACTTTTCAGGCACAACCACCCTATCGCCCCACAGCAGACATGCTTTGTGAATTGATGGCTCATGTTGCCATGAAATGAATGGCACGAATTAGGTGCTCACATGGTCTCTCAGCCAGCCTTTCCTCGCCTAACTCAGCACAATGGAAAGGGTGCGATCTTTTGCAGCACAGGTGGCTCTAACCGCTGCATGGAGCAAGGGCTCAAGAATCGTGTTCAGCAGCAAAACAACCTCTGCCGGCTCAGGGTCATCCTGGTGCAGTTGTGGTAAAGGCAACATGCTGAGGCCATCCACGTGAACCAGCTGCCATCTCTCCATCGGTGTGCAGGGAATACTGGTAGCGAACTTAAAAAATGGACCAATGCAGCTTCGGTGGCGACAACACTTGTGTCGTCTGGCAGTTGGGAATGAACAACCCAAGCAGTGTCTTATGAACCTTGTGAATCCGAAACAGGGAGCTGTACACGTAATCGAGAAACTTCTTCACACTTGCCACAATATCGAGTGCCTCTTTGTTGATTTGGGCATAGTTCTCTCTGCAGAAGACAAAGTTCATGAGTAAAAGGCGGATCGTTTCATGAGGACAAAGTTCATGAGGATCGGAGCTTTGGTTCCCATGGCTGAGCACGGCTCCAATACCATACGGAGATGCATCACAGCAAAGATCACCGATTTCTTTTCATCAAAACGTGTAAGTACTACTTGGCTAGATGCCTAGGAGTTGTTTCACGCCGGCAAATGCATCCTGTTGCTCTTGAGCCTAGCCACAAGTTGCAGGCTTGTCCAGCAAACCATGTAACTGCTTGGCAATTGTTGCCTTGCGTGGAAAGAATGCATGGTAAAAGTTTACAAGCCAGCAGTTTGACTTTCTTTATGCGATGAGGTGTGTCAATAATTGCTAGCATCTTGCTGGGCGTTGGCTGGACCCCTTCATCATCGATAGGGGATCTGAAAAATTTCACCCAATCTGCCCCGAGATTACACTTGTCCTTGTTGACTTTCAGACCAATTTCTTTAAACTGCCCAAGAGCTGAGACATTTAAAAAATGGTGAGCCAGCTCTTCATGTGGAACACCCGCAATGAGGATGTTATCAAAATACAAATTGGCGCCTGGTATATGCTACGCAACAGGGTTTCTATCAGATTTTGAAAAATGCCTGTTGTGACACTCACCCCGAACTGCTGTCTTCAGTCGTGCAATGCCCCCCTGTGCGTCACAACAGTTTGTGCGTTCCCAGCTTCCTCAGTCATCGGCAGTTGCTGGTACGTCAAGTCCAGTTTTGCGAACTACTTTTGTGAGGAGGATGTTCTGTAAACTCCTTCATGGCGTTGTGCCCTTCGACCTTTTCTCAATCATTCCTTGGTGCACTGGTTTCATTCGCATCGCTGCAATGGCAGTCCGTGGCAGAGAGTCAGCCTTTCGATCCACAGCCTCTGCTGCAATAGCCTTGTCCATGGCACTGGCCAAGTGAGCTCCTTGTTTGCTACCAGTCGTTTCTTTACCTTTCATCGTAAAGGCCAAATACGAAATGGTAACGCACAGCAAGGTCGAGGGCCATGAAGTTGTAGTGTGGCGCAGTGGTGCATAAGCCTGCCAAGCACCCAGCAGCAGACTCCCCCGGCGCCTGATTGCAGTGATTAAAATTTTAACACATGACTAGTTTGGCTGGTTTCAAAGCAAGACGATCTTGAAGGGCAGACAGTATTGTTGACAGTGCTGTGTCCTACAACTGTGACAGTGCCACAAGCGCTTTGGCTGATTGGAACGTTGTCAACCACATCGGCTCATGAAGGTTGACCTCTGCTTGTCGGCTTCTGTTATACAATGGGCGTCCAAAAAGACTACGAGTCTTTGAGCATAGACTTCCTATTACGCTGGCCAGAATAGATAGAATGGCTGGATGTAGCTTCTTGAGGCGGCGCCCATCAGACCTAATATTCGAGCGTCAATCCAATCCTCGTCGCCAGTATATCACGCGAGTAAGACACGCTGGCACTCCATCAATGCAACTCAAAACTGATGCAGCCGCTTGCTGTGGTTGCCCTTTACTAACATCATAACATTGTAAGGCAATATCAATGTTGCCAGCACAATACTACAACACGCCATATGTAGCCTAACATGAGAACACAACAGTATAAATGCACAAGATGAAATAGCAAACTATTGTGCGAATCGTAAATTTTAGGTTCCAAGCAAATTAGAAGAGAATATAGTGATTTTGGTTAAATAATTTCCAATCGAATTTGAATAGTACATATGAAATAATCAAAATGGGCATATTTATCATTACCTAACCTGCACAATATCTTTAAATTAAAATAGAGTCTCAATGCAAGGGCCTTTCTTTTTCATTCAAAAGAAATCAAAACAACTTTGAGTAGTAGCAGGATTTGACTTTCAGTGGATCATGCGAGTGATGACCCATAAAATATGTAACATTTTGAAATATAATATACTTAGAACATATAAGCCGTCATAGCAAGTTTTTAAGCTTAATAAAATGATGAATTAATTTGAAGGTAATATGTTCATTTAGAGAGGCCCTGCAACAATTTTTCAAGTAGCCACAGAATGAATTCACTAAAAAAGCTTATTGCCTCACGAATTAACTGCCGCAAATATTTTTAGAATTTGTCCAATACGAGCATAGTAGCAAAGACTTGTCGCACGCTGCAGTTTCATTCTCTCTTTTCGTCCCGATGAAAGTGCTGCGAGCTAAGTAGGGAGGAACGACACGGGAAAGAAAAATGCGTCATGCGTGCCTCGTGACCTTGAGCACTTTTTCTCTTTTTCGAATGCGCATCTTTTCAGTGCAATTGTGCACATGCGTGTGGACAAGTAGTGGCCACAGTAAGTCAGCGCCCCATGCTTAAATTAGCCTATGCCTGATACAATGGCTGTGGAGAGTGAGTTTTGAGCTAGTGGTGTCATTTGCCGAGAGAAGAGAGCAATATTTAGCTGACTTTGAGAATTTATTGGTAATTGCACGGCGCGTGCTGAGCGAAAATGTTGGCTTGCGTGTTCTTGGTAGCCTCTACTAACGATCAACAGCGTTTTCTGACCAAGCTCAAAAAGTGTTGCACGGCTCCTTTAAATTTGAAGGGAGGCTTCGTGGCAAAGCAAATTTTTTTTTTTAAATGTTTTCATGGTTTAGCATCCCTACTCTGCAGTGAAACAACCTTTACGAGTGGTTACATGTAGTTTAATATACACCTATTCATTCGTTACAAATATTTTAAAACTTTCAATTATTTAAATTCAAATCAAAGTGAATTAGAATACTCTAGTATTCATTCCAATATTCGAATACTCTACTATTCGTTCGAATATTCGCACAAGCCTAGTGAACATGTTACAAGCATCTTACACACTGGCTTGCACGAGGGGTGTTGTTCCTCAGGAAAGCATGCGTGTTGCGTAAAAGTGTCTTAGCATGATTGGCACATTTCGCTTGATCAGACACTGGCACTTCTACGAAATAAGTACTGAAGTACTCCCAACAAGTACTCTTATAAGCTTAACCCAGGCACGTAGCCAGAATTTGTTTTTTTTTTTTTTTTGAAGGGGGTGGCACCCTATGAGTTCAGGGAGGGCACCCCCTTGAAATGGTCATTTTTCACTCTTTATGCCATGGCAAAAAAAAAATTTGGGTGGGGGGGGACTTGGCTACACATTTGGCTGAACGCCCTCCCTCCCAGCAGGACACATGCCATGTTCCATAGTTTAAACTCAGTTGTCAGAACATTGCTATCATTAAGGGGCATTCCCATGCATGCACCATTTTTCTTTTTCAATGTAATTTCTGCCTAGTTTCCACATGCAGATTACACTGATTTCACATGTTTCAGACAGACAACAAATTATTTTTCAAAGCCGATGTCCCTGTTGCTAATTCAACAGTGAAACACACTGTTCCAAGACACATTCCAGCATGCAGCATTCCTTTTTTCTTCCTCATTGGGTGCATCAAAACTACTGTGGACAAAAATTTTAAGTGGACAGTTGGACTGCTTCAGTGTCTTCGATGAGCGAATATAAGCTTAGCTGGCACAAGTTTTTCTTGTCATGCTCAGAACAATGCAGAGAAGGGGGAAGACATTGTGCGTACCATTTCCCAAAGGTGTTGCCTCCATGGCCGACTCTACAGAGCCAACTTACGGCCTGTTCAGACCATCGCCGCATACTGGATGTACCTGCAAATTGACAAAAAATTGTGTTCACTGATCTTGGACATTTAAAATCATTAGCCTCCTGTTAGCTGACTGATTTCAGGAGGGCAGAACACTGCTCAAGAAGAATGACTACTTGCTTTGTATATAAAAAAAAGAAGCGCAACCTGTACGGCATGTGTCAGTGCTGACAGAAATAATGCACACGTGTCTACTACAGGATCGAGTCTAGAGGCAATCAGTAGTAGAAAAACGTGAGAAGACTCACAATGGAAACATAAAAGCGATCGCTCCATTTGGCAGTCTTTATAAATATGACACTCTGTTTGCGTTGAAGCACTAGTCAGAGCCAGAACTTTGTGCTCAGTCTCGGAAGTTAGTGATTTTCCCATTCATCTACAATAGACAAATATTGGTTGAAGGTATTCTTGAGCCAACATGACGGCGACCAAGGAACTGCTGAAGTTTCTTAGAAAAACTCCTTTGGACAAGCAGCTGTGCCAGCGATGTCTCGCGAGCATGATAAAGATGTAACACACTGCATGTTTGGATGTATTATCTCTCTTTCCACTCTTTTCAATGTCCCAGTTCTCCAATGTTCCTGTTCCCCAATGGCTTTGCTGGTGTGGTTAACCTCCCTGCCTTTCCTTCTCTACCATTTCTTTGCTTTTTTCCATTTGTCTGATTGGTTACAATAAATGGTTTTGTGGACAAGATGCACAAAATCGTACTATCATGCTGCTTGCTCAGTGAGTGAAGCTTAAAGCTACAGCTGAAAGTTCATAGCAGGTAACCTCAGCAAGCATAAGTTTTAGACATTGACATGTGACCAGGGTGGGTATTTGCAAGAAAGCATGTCACTTTAGGAGACAAACAGTACAATGACACTCCTTAGCAATGTTTGAGTGGTAGCAGGACAAAAGTACAGGTGAATAACCTTTTATCACATTTGTCTTTCTTGGTTATATGTAACTCAGTGACTGTAGGAACTACTGATCCACCTGTATCAGGTGCACCCAAGCAGATCTTTTTTTGTGTGTGTGCATTACCTATGTAGTATGCAGTACAAACGACTGGTTTGTCAATTCAGCTCCAAATACCCTAAAGCAACATGCTAATTCTATGAAACATGCTGTCATGATTGCCTATGGCTTAACTCTGATTTTATGAGGTTTTCAATGAGATACTGAACCAAAAATATGCTACTAATAATTTCAGCTCAACTGAAAGATTGGATGCTGAAATCAGTAGACACGAACGAATGAAAAATAAATAATGAATTAAATTATTTTTGCTAAACATTTGTGCCTAACGGCTGCACCGTGAAGTAAAGAAGGTGACGATTAACATCTGCAAAAATGTGTGCGCTAACAACAGTCTTTCACAAAGTTATGGGCATGCAATGCCAAAATAAGGTACAATATTACCACACCACTCCTCCTTTCTTGCAGATTGTGCTTGAGCCACTTACAGTTTTACTGACAGTGCATTAAGCGAATAACAGGTTCTGAAAGGCTCAGAGGCAACAGTTAGGTGTGACAACTGTTATGATCGTCCTGCCTGGCTTGGCGCCGTTTGTACGCATGAGACATTGTGGCTGAGCCTACCCTAATTTCTTCCAGGTCAGCGTTACCAGAGATGCACCAAGAGCGGCGACAACATGAAAGTCATTCTTCAATTTCTCTATAGCCGTTGGTGCCCCTCGTAAAGCTTTTCGACACACCTGACCGACTGACGGTTAGGAAGAGCTGTTGGCCATCGAGGCGGCTTGCTTTGTCGTAAAGGTGCCCCGGGCAAAGGACCCAGCGTCTGGGAACCGTCTGCGGATGCATCCCCACATACTCCGTGGCACCTTCATGCCGCTGTTTTCATAATTCGTGGCCTGCCTGGCGTCGCATACCCATCATTGCAATAGTCTACAGAGTTCATTTCCATGTAGGACTCAACGTCTTCGTGCTGTGCTGTGTCATGCACGGTGTGCAGTGTTTTTTCCCTCGCCATGAAACGAATTTGACGTGACTCTTCCCCTTTCCTGCATTGGGAAGGAGGCAGCATTTCACCTTCCCCTTTTGGGGGCGGAGGTGAAAGTGGCAATTTCATTGGACTGTCCTGGCCACCATTCTTTTTTTCTCTGCAGGGAATCCTGGGAAGGCCAGGACATAAAACACGAGTGCTGAGATGCTCCCGACAAGCTCCCAGAAGCTCCCATCAGCTTTCATCGAGAGCTTCCATAATGCTGCTCCTATCATGTAGGAACACGCTACCTGTGAATAATGTAAATAAAGATCACCGGTAACAGCTCCAGGCTCTTCTCCTCGACATCTCCCTGAGACTCTGGCTGGCTCCGGTCCTCTGGGCAGACCACCGACTACATCACAACCCCATAGTAGTTTTTCAAAAAAGCATTTGTGGTGTTGCGGGTCTCCAGTGGAATCAAGAGCGACAAGAGCACAATGAGTAAGAAAGAGATCCACGGCCATCGATGTGCAAGCTTGCGCACGCTTACAGTCACCCAAAAACGGTAAGGGACTTTGTGCTCTTTGCCTCGATCAAATGGCAACTGCTAAGACCAGGTCTAGCTGGACAATATACATACTGGTGCACTGACCTCGAGTTGTATTTTTTCTTTTTCTTCTTCTCGGCACTTGTGCAGAGCAGCAGCATGGCTGAGATGAGGCCAAACAGCTGGACGAAGGCAAAGCTCATGCACACAATGCCCACAATGTAGAGCCGCTTCATGATCCACAGGTGCAGCTTGCGGTAGCAGCCCTGCACAAAACATCCCAGTCAGGACATCCAGAGTGTAGATATTTTGGGATAAAGATGCATATCTACGTTGCAAGCCTATCTTATCTTTATTGCAGAAGGATCCACCTGCTTATTAGATAAATCTGAGAATTGTAGCCTGGTCACCTTCACTGCTAAAAACTATGCTACCTAACACCATCTCTAAGCACCGAGCATATTTCACATGTGCACATGAGACATTCCGACCAAAGCAGAGGCACCCGTGTCCGACAGCATACAGCTCAATGAATACAGCATTCATGACTTGGAATTACTGCATCCATTTTAGTTATTAAATGTTTCAGTGCTCCCACTTACTCAATATACTTCACTTCATCGTTTTTCAACTTACAATCTCCTGAAAATAAGATATCATTGAATTTGATCACCAGACCAAGACAAACATTGCTAGTAGCTTTGTAACTTGGATAGGAAACCTGAGTGGGCTTCCTTCATAGCCTCCATGCTACCCTACTTTCTCGCATATAACCTGCAGCCCCAACCTTACAAAAAAAAAAATTCATCCCATAACCCGCAACTCCACTTTTAAAGCACATTTTCCTGTTCTTGAATGCGAGTTATACGCATGAGAATGCAGTAGTACTTAGATTAGCTGCCAAATTACCCCCCCCCCCCCCCCCCTTTTACAGCAAAAGCTGTTAAGAGATCAGAACACCGGTCACGCGCGGCACCGAAGTTGTCCGCATATCAAACGAAAAAAACCTCAGTAAATAAAAATCACTAATGACACAATGGGATTCAAACCCAGGTCCGCTGCGTGCCAGCCCGGTATTCTACCGCTGAGCCACGCCAGTGCTTGCAACTCGATTCTGAACTGGCCCTAGGCAGGCTTGATGTCAGGAAAAGAATCGCGTTAATATGAGTAATAAAGCGTTTTAGAATATCAAAGGAACAGCCAGGCGTAACACAATGTGAATTGCGTAACGAGTGGGTGGTCCAGTGGTCCAACCCATTAGAAAACTTGTTTTAACTTATTAACTACGATGCATACCCACTTCGGGCATATTTGTTCATCGTTATCAGCTACTGCATGAAAAAAGTACACAAAATTCATAACAAGTGTGTAGTGGATAACATATGCTTCTCCAAAAAATGACGAAGGATAGCATATTGAATGCTGGCCTACTACACAAAATTTATGATTAGCCATTTATGGCATAGTGGGTACCCAGGAGTGTGCTTGTAGCATCCCACAGAGTGTTTAGAAAAGGCTCTAAAAGGCCGCTCTTCTAACTTTCACTGTAACTGTGCTGCGCGCTTCCCACAAACTTGGCGTTTATTTTTTTGCCGGAACTGTTCAAGTATTCTCAAAAAGCTTACAGATTGAAAGGCATCTTTCAGGTAACCTACAGGCTGCTTGCTTTTTCCAATGCTCCTTACAAGAAGCCCAGAATGACCAATGGACACGAAGTGTCTGTGACATTCAATTTTCGGAATTGTAACTACACGCTAACAGCTGCTACATAAATGCACAGCAGGACGAGCTTAATTCTCATGTTCAACGGTATTTGCTGCTCTAGTGGGTGGCAAGAAAGAAGCACATATGACACTGACCCCCTCATGAATGAGACGCGGGTTCTTGGAAGTGGCACAGGCTGTGCCATTGACAAATTCTTCCAGGCAGCATGACTGGGGCACCCACTCTTCGTTAGGCCATGCTGAAATGCGGTGCCAGTCGCGATAGCTGTGGACACCGCAACACTCGAACTGTAAAGACAGCAAGCAGACAGGCACACATGCTCACTTCACTGGTTGTTTTCAAAGCAAGAAATGGAAAATGGCATGCGCGTGAAGATACACACACACATATATTTGTTTATTAGGGGCAAAGATCATAAAGGCATGGGTTTGTCCTTCTACTGTGACCTGTTCGCGATTACCTAGTTTATGAAAGACTCAGCAGGTGGTGTTAGTGTGAATAACAGACAGACGGACAGATAGAGAAATGGACGGATGAATTCATGGTACACCGATAGAGCCCTCCGAAGCTTTGTCATCATTCACTCCATAGATATGCTGAGATTTTTTTGTCACAATCTCTTCCCAGAGATATATGCACCAAATTATTTACTTGCGTGTTCATTGGACGACCCACAAGGACAATAGTGAAAAAGGTGTGGTGCTGAAGTCAAAGCTGGCTATCATGAAGCCGTATTCAATCCCTGCTCTATGCCCAGCATCAGCTATAAAGACTTAAGTATATATTGAATACACGCTGCAACAAAGAAAGGTTTTTGTACTTACTAGGTTACCATGTATTCTATGATTACTTAAGTGACTCTAAGTTAAAGCAAGATTCAAGCATATAGTATAGCATTGTTATTTTGTTCCTTCTCCCTGTATGCAACAACATCAGTTGTTGCCTGCTTTCCCACTAGTTGCTGTTGCCGTTGCTGCTGTGTTGGGGCTGGCTGGTCCCGACGAAGCAGAAAAAGACGGCCGGCGGAGACGTACGCAGCCGGCGGGGACGCCGACCAGCCCGAACACGCGGGTTGGCGCTCAGCACCGAAGAGAAGAACAACAACCGCACTCCACAGTTACCCAACGCACATTCATTTTATTTACAGTCGCCTTGAAATCCTGGATGTCAGATAGGCACAAGCTCCCCCGTACCTCATATTTAAACGGAAGACGCTCCCGAAGGGAGTCTTTTTCCCGAGTGGTGTGATCATGTGGGCCAACGAGAAAAATGGGTGCGCGTTGCAATCGATGTCTTACTATTTTTTTTTTCGTCGTGGAAACCAGGTGCACGTTACAATCGAGGGCGCAGTAGAATCGAGTAAATACGGTAGTCTGATGACTGTTTTGATTTCAATATGTAAGTAGGTGTTTATTCCGTTTTCGTTCTCTCGTGCATTGTAACGGTTTAGTCCAGTTATTTCATGCACAGTAATGTTTCTTTGCCGATTCTTTATTACATTAGATTGTAAAAACTTTAATTAATTCTTTATTGATATTGTATAACTTTTTTAGTTACACTTTTCCGAAGTGCCTTTATAAAATCTTTCTTTTTTGGACCCAAACTAGCCTATGGCTATGGGACCACGCACTGTATACAAACTTCTGGTAAAAAGTATGACCAATAAAATTCAATTCAATTAAATTCAGAGTTATATTGGTTTTTTTCACAACTTTTCTATGTATGAATGTATTTCTTGTATCTTACTGATTTACTTTAGCCCTTCCCCTCTACAATGCTTCTTGTAAGTCTTGAGGGTACCAATAAATAAAAAATAAAATAAATAGTGAAGTGCTGCTTACATAGACAATGTAAGCAGCACTTTACTATCTATTAACAGCTCATGTCACTTATTGCTGCTTGAATAAGTGGCATGAGCTGTTACATCCCCCGGATGTAAATTTTGTTCACATTTCACAAAAATGCAACCTCCTTAGCCAGAAAAAAGGTCAGGTTACCACAACATCAGACAAACAACACATCAGGTTTTTTCACAAGGCAATCTTATTGAATGTGTACATTATGTTCTTTGTATCAATGCTTCAATGACTTTTAAGTTGTAGACTCGTAAATCTCTGGCACTTTTTATGCCAGTAGCTGTAATGTGAAAGGCATTACGTCAAAGTGAGTTATAAAAAATCTCTATCCATCAAATACATATATTCATCATACACATGCAAAACAATAAAAATAGCAGAAAATTAAAGACTGTTTATAACTGTATTAATAGTAATATACATTTCACTGTCTTGGTTAATTTTCATGCCTTCTGTCTCGAATGCTTCTTCTGAATGGCATGATAAAAGCTGTGTCGTCTCACCTTTGTGTGGATCTGGTCCCAGAGCTCTGCAAGCCCATTGTCACTGTCTGGGTCATATTTGTGTTCGATGCCCACCTTCAGTTCTTCCATCAGTGACTGGCCAATCTGCATACATGAGCATAATTCGAACTGTAATGTTAAAGCATGCCAAGTATACGTGGCTGTAGGCCTAGCCCAAGTCATCTTGTTCAGAATTGGAGGCATGACTATCAGCCTTATCATCAATGCACTTATTGTTAAGTTGGGAAAGGTGATGACAGAAGCCTTACACCTAAAGCTCAGTATGGTCAGGGGCAGCACTAGAACTTTTTTGCTGTTGTGGCGGGGGGGGGGGGGCACCAAAGACAAGTGTGTACCTTCAGAGGGGCAGGAAGGTGAAGGCTAGGAACATATGCATTGTGTATTGACTATGCTTGCTCTTGGAGAGGCAAAGAAGGCAGGGGGCACGCAGAAATGTTGCAGATGCTCCAGCCCCCCCGCCCCCCCCCACCTTTCCTATGGTGCTGTCCCAGAGTCAACATTCCGCTTACAAATTAAAAAAGTCACAGTTCCTCCTCAAGGACAAAGCAATAAAGGCAAATGTCACACAAAAAACGACAAGCACCTTAAAGCTAGCAATGCACTACTGAAGCACAAAACATGCTCGAAAACTACGCAGGACAAGTATGCAGGATGCTTGAAAAATGCATGAGACAAGCGCGAACTAATAACTGTCACAGTTTCTGCATTTTTGTCTTTAAGCAGGGCACTCCAAGTGTCATTGACAATACAGAACCATATGAGGTTTTGGCAGAACCCTATGCTCTCAGGTAAATTTTAAAAATTTTAAGCTGTGGCATGTAGAGCGATTCTTCTGCGTTTCCTGCCACAAGGTGGCGTACGAAGTAACATGTGTTTAGCATTCTTTTTATTTTTTAAGGCAAAGCTCCTTAAGCCGTGATTTGTACATCCCCGATGTATGTAGTGGTAGTTGTGGTCGTAGTAGTAGGTAGTCACCTCTCGTTTAGTCCTTGGAATGTCTGCTGGATAGTGGTACTTGTATACGATGGCTATATGATGAAAATATGCGAGATAGAGGTACTTGGAGTATTCACTAGATGGATGAACGAACAGACAAGCAGACGGACAGATGCACAAACGGCGAACAGACTGGCACATGGACTGGTGCACGGACAGACAGATAGATGTACAAACAAACGCAAGGATGGACGCACGGATGGATGCACGGATGCACGAACAAACAGTCACACGAATGGATGCACATGTGGACCGAAACAAGAACGAACAGACGGAAGCATGGACGGACTGATGAATGCTTCGCCCCACTTATCATCATTCACTCTGTAGGTAAGCTGTGATTTTTTTTTTTTTCCACACCACAAGTAGTTGCAGAGAGCGGCATCTTTCAAGTACGTGTCTGAAGGGCAGTTTTCGAAGTACAAAAAAAAAGGTAGGAGTTTCGCATTCCAGACAAATACACACTGAAGCTCCTCCAAGATCTGTGTACCCCCAGCAGTAAATCTTGAGTATAAAGAGCTCGCAATTACTATGCCGTCGCAAGAATTGCCGAAGGTAGAGTTGTATAAGGTGGCACAGTGCGGAACAATGGGTCACTGGATTTAATCCCCGGTCGGGTACTTCGAAAATTTTTTTTCCGATTTATCTTTGTTTGTGCTTTTTTACACATATTGTAAGAATTCATTGGACTTCATTTTCCTCATCTGTAAATAGCCATCATTAATCTTCGTGTCATTCCTCTTCGTCGTCAACACCATCTTGCTGTTGCTGAATTAAAGCGTCCGCTGAACCGTGGTATTTCAAGTGGTGGAAGGTGCTTCCTGATGAATTCGACCTCTCTCTATCTAAAGCCAGCTCCTGGAGCTCCGTTCGAAATGCCACTTCCGCCAACCGACATCACCACTCGACGCTTCTTTCTTTTCTGGCCCCGTCAACTCTTCACCATCCTGCAGTACTCAATTTTCTGCATCCCTTTTATTCCAAAGAACTACGCAGCTTCCTTTGACTCGCATAATACTTTCGCCTCTTCATTCCCAACTTTGCCACCATTGCTGCTGTACTCCACAAGCTCCTTGTTAGTACCGGTTCCTTCGATTGAAATGATTCGTGCGAAGCTGCATTTTAAGAACTCAAGCACGCACTGACATACCTACCGATGCTTTGTTATTTCGATGACGAGGGACCTACGTTACTACACACTGACGCTAGCAGACAAAGAATTGGCACCATACTCCTTTAGCGCGACCATGCATTTCGCAAGAAAGTTGTCGCATATGCAGCCGCACTTTGACCTCTGCAGAAAAGAGGTGCTCGATAACCGAACAAGAATGCTTGGCAGCTGTCTCGTCTATCCAAAAATTTTGTCCGTATTTTCATGGTCGACATTTTACTGTTGTGACAGACCACCATGCCCTAAGCTGGTTGCCGACAATCAAAAATTTGTTGGGGCGCCTTGGCCGCTGGATTCTCTGATTACAAGCATATGACTTTGGCATCATCTACAAGACCAGAAAACAGCGCCAAGATGCCAATGCTTTATCATAATGCCCTTTGCTGCCATCTCCAGTGCACATCACATCCCTTGTCAAATTGGATACATGGAGGACGCCTCGTCGATATCGTACATTTCTTTTCTGCCTTCATCCACCCATCCTTCAGTACTTTCCACTCACCAGCAAGCCGATTCTTCTTGTACTGACATCATCGGGCGGCTTGCCGGTGCTTCGTCTTCCTTAAATTCCAGGCTCCGGAAACAACTCCGGCTCATCAAGTTCAAGCACAATGTGCGGTACATTTTCCACCCAGAAAGTGATCGATGGGTTCCCGTCATACTACGCGCTCTTTGCACTGAAGCTCTGTGTGGTTCACACGATGAAGAAAAACGACACGAAGACTGATGTTGGTTATTTACAGATAAGGAAGGTAAAGTATAATAAATTTTTACACTAATTTCAAGAATTCATCGGATTTCATCTTTCTCATCTGTAATTAACCATAATCAGTCTTCATGTCACTCCTCTTCGTCGTCGGCGCCATCCTGCTGTTGCTGAAATAAAGCGTCGGCTGAACCATGGTATTTCTATATATATACATGTACGGGACATGATGGTGACTGTAAAAGGCTGCTGAGAGTGTTCATATAATTGCTCTCACAATAAAATGAAGGGTGCAACATAGTTGGGATATTAAGAGCTCTATTAAGAACCCCTGACACCAAATTTAGAAACTCAAGATGCTTCTGTTGTTTGAGAGTCCTCCATATGGGAGCACTTCTGACCGATTATTAGTGACGAGCGTTGCCTATAAGATATTTTAAATTGCTATTAAAGTAAGGGAGTTTGACCATGCATAATCTCAGGCACTGCCCCGTTGTAGGGCACTAGTTTCTTATAGTATTTAAGCGGGCGTTTTCAACAGATGCCAAATCATTTGGAATTGATGATGCTAGCATAAATTATATGATGCATTAGAACAATATGATTCAATTTCCACATTACCATGCGCAAAGCTAGAAATCACTGTAAAAAAGTCGCAAACAAAACTTTTGTTGCCAGGGGTCCTTTTAAAGGGGTGGTGCCACCAAATTTTGAGGCTATAACAAGCCTCTCGTGGGTTTTCTCTGTATGCAAAGACACCCCACATGAAAGGTCGGACACAGCAAACATTTACAGATATATTAATTCACTTCCGAAATATACCTAAATACCCATTTTCTCGATGGAGGCCCATCGCGAGCGCGTCCAACACTGACGTAATGACGTCGCACTAGACCTGTTGAGTCACCTCTAGGCCTTCGCCACGAATGTACCGGCAACGCATCGCGGCTGCTGTAGCTAGCAGCATGCTTGTCTTGCAGGTGCTTGAGTGGCATGTGTGTGGGAGAGCAGACATGAATCAACACGATGTGCACCAGAGCTTTGTGAGGTCACGTGACTGAGCTACCTACCCTGCTACGTCACTGCCCAACTCAACGCTCAGACACCGAAAATTGTTCACATAAATGAGGTGATTTAAATTATTTAGCGATAATTAAAGAATCTTGGTACATGTATAAGGCTTCTCGGAGCCATACGAAATATTTACAGCAAAGAACGCTTAAGCCACAAATACGGTGGCACCTACCCCTTAATGTCCAAGTTAGGCAACATCGTCAGCACGTCACATGTTCTACGTACGAATGCATGAAAAAAGCAAACAACTCCTTCCTTTGTGGTGCAATTGAAAGCGTGCGAGGGCCGCTGACGACTGCGGCTCTAGCGAAGAGGAAATGCAACAATCGGCCATCTCCTCCCACGGGTGCTAAAGGCCGCAACAAAGCATATGTATTTTAATTAAATCCCATGATGTATTTGTGGGATGCAGTAGTCAATGAAGGACGGATCCCAACATAAAACGTAACGATGTTTATCAATGCGGTAGCAACAGCAGGGCAAGTGTCCCGATGCTGCGCTCGAACTGTTAGAGAAACAATCATTGTAGCGAGCCTGGCAGCTTGGGTCTTATAGCCACCTGTGGTGGCGTCAGCCTCTGGTGAAAAAGCGGTGGCACTATCCATTATTGGACGCGCGTGGCACTGTCCATTATCAGTTGCTGGCTGCGCCGGTTTGTGCGCAGTCTGTTACCACATCACCCCCCTGCGATGAGGAGAACCCTCAGAGCTTGTAGAAGTCTCGGAGACATACCAGACGCCCAGAGCGTGTCGTGAAAGTAGCGGGCTGCGACGTGGCAGCTGTGGAAGAAGTGGCCAAAGGGTGCTGGACTTTCTTCTGAAGGTCAAGGTTGCGAGTGGCAGCGAAGACGGACAAAGTGAACACCCAAGAATGGAATCTGCGCAAGCTGTATCGCAGCAGGAGCCAGGGTCATGGAAAGCAACGTGGCTAGAACCTTGGCTGTGGACAGTGGCACTGGGACAAGAGCATGTCCTGCCATAGTCATCACCGGTGGGATCCTCTTTTTGAGAGGAGCAGTCGGAACCACTGTAGACGTCTGGGCAGAATAGGTTGCCAGAGTCTGAGTAATGGTGGTCTCGGTGAACTGCAACGAAGAGGCAGCGGTGGTGGAAGCAGCAATGGTTGTAAGGAGTAACG